ATGAAAAAGATGGAGTTAGGCAATGTATACAAAATTATGAGAATATTATGAGAATAAGAGCATCTAGAGACGTATTGGGTTCACGAAGTCCTGGTTTAATTATAAATGTACCCAAAAGCAAGTATAAATATTTGTTTAAGAGAATTTATTTGTCAGGATGCTTTAAATGTATTAAATAATTGGTAAAGCAAGTTTATTTATTATGAACCTCGTTAATTAGATGTCTCATTTAGTAAATCTTGTGATCGATGATATTAATATTTATAACAAATGAGTTCTTGTAAATTAATAATAATTCATAAATTTACCTTTTTAAATAAACTATATGTTACATTTCTGTTCTTCAATTGCTTAAGAAATATACGGTTCTGATCGTTATGCTGAAAGATCAAATTTGCAACTAAAGCAGTATAATAACCATAACTAGCGGCGACAAAGTCGCCGCACACCTACCTAATCAAGTTGGTAACTAATAAAAATAACTAATGGTGATAATTTGAATCGGAAAAAATTTTTTGTTCTGATTAGATAAAAAAAAATTTTTTTGGTTTGCCTTCCTATAAAATCAAAAATCGAAAAAACATAAACATAATTATTAATCAATAATTATTAATTAATTAACTTATTATTAATTAAATCAATAAACAACAATAGGAATAGACAATACATAATAGTAGAATAGAAATTAAAACAATAAAAAAAACAATTTCATTATGCGCCTGACTTTGCCGTCGCGGCAGATCCAAATATATTTTTTTTTGTTTGAAAAAAAAAAAATAATATTTACACAACCTTTATTTCTTGAGGTAGATTCATCTTCTACCTTTACCTTCACCTTATCCTCTATCTCTTAGTATCAGTTAGTGTAGTATTAGGTAAAATAAGGTATATAAAAATGGCCGGTCATTGGAGTTACACGAATCGTCTACTAAATTTTTTTTACCGTAACACAGATCCTCCTTTAATACTTTAATTATTTCTAGTGCTGTATCCAACATCACATACATACAAACGGTAAGATCTACATACTTTGACAATATGTATTACAAGTAATTTGGTTAAAATTCTTTTTTTTTTAAAAAAAAACTTATTTTTATAAAGAACTTTTCTAACTGTAACATATCACTGTTTACCTTATTCCTTATATGCTCGGAGGTGATTGTCACCGCATTACGTGATACTATCAAATTAAATTTAGCGTTAAAAAATTTAAAATGTATTATTTCAAACTAATTAAACGAATTGAGATCAATAAAAAGCATGATGTATGTATTAAATTTGGATTGCAATACATTCTGTGAAATTTTTTTACAAGGTTCCGGCGACCGAAGGGAGCCCGACTAATTAAAGAATGTTTGAATTATAACAAGTTAAACAGACTCTGCTTTATATCATTGATGCTGCTTTGTGCATTTTCTAGCATTATGACTAGGTTCTCTACAGACTTTGCATATATATTTTCATTTGTTATTATTTTTGTCAGTATTGGGTTCCTCATTAGCGAATATTTCGTTAGAATTGAGAGTTCTTAGTGCAGATGAACTTTGTAAATGTTGCATTGCTTGTGTATTTGTATTCAGTTATTTCTTCCATAAATTCGATATGGTTGACGTCCTCATTAAAAACTGTATCATTTTGGTAGTCCTGCTCACCTTCAATAAAAATAAATTATTTAAAGCCCAATTACGAAGCAAAATAAACATTAAAATCAAAAACTTACCTTTTATAATTATATCCATAACAAAACAAAAGGCAAAGAAAGAGTAAAAAAAAAAAAAGAAACAATGAAAAGAAAATAGTTTCTCGTAGTTTATTTTATTGATTGCATTACGTAATTTTTATATATATTATTTGTCATGTGATGCTGGTGATCGTAACCGTCGGTGATTACAATTTTAAAATATTTTTTTTAAAAAAAAGGTAAAAAAATTTATATAAAAACAGTTATTTATAAAAAAAACCAGAAAAATTTTAATTAATAAATTTTTAAAAAAACTGAATTAAAAATAATGAAAAAAAATTTTTTTATCTAATTTATAATTTTAAAATATAATTAATTTATTAATAAAAAAATTTATTTATAAATTTTAAAATAACACAATCTCACTATCTATAATTATCATTTTTAATCATATATAATATAAATATAATTAAAATATATCCAAGTATTTTATTAGACATAAAAAATTTAAGATTAAGTTCTAGATATAACTTAATTTTTAAATCAAATATGTTAAAATATATCTGAATAATTTTAATGAGGTTACTATTTACCACTACTAGTAATCAGTACTTATATTATAAGATTCATTTTTTAGATGTTTAAGTAATCCTATTTGAATTTTGTCAAAATAAATTACCTTTTTAGAATTGTGTATTCTAAAAAGCTTTTAGCCTGAATTACAAATTTTTGGCCAAAATTATATATGTGATGAATAACAAGTAATAAATATAATTTACACTCAAAAAAATTCTAAGTTCATATAATAAAATGGAATGTGAAAGATATGATATGAGATAATAAATTATTCATATAAAAATTATGTGATACTGATGCTGATTATCACTTGTTATATGTAATAATTTTCAATTTTAATTAATAAATTTTAACTTATAATTTAATTTAACCAATACTATAAATTTTATTTTTTAAAATATTTAAAACTTAATTTATTCTATTTTAATAAATATATAAAATTTAATTAATTAAAAAACTTTTATTATTATTAGTACTAACTTTATTTTTATTATAATAATAAATGTAAATATATAATAATTGGTAAAAATATAAAACTAAAGCTTCAAACAAGTTAGATCAGATCAGTAAATCAAATTATCTAATCTGAAAAGTTCAGATAAAGTCAAGCAAAAATATATTTTAACTTAAATTTCTATTTAAATTAATTTAATTTAATTTATTTCAATCTATTGAATTATTTAAGAAGAATAATTTAATATTTTAAATAAAATAATTTAATATTATTCAAGTAGAATGATTATTAATATTTAAAAAGATAATTTAATATTATTCAATTAAAATAATTTATTATAACACAATTAAAATAATTTTTTATCATTAAGTATAAGAATGATTTATCATTATTTTAATTAAAAGATTAATTATCATTTAAGAAAAATAATATATCATTATTTTAATTAAATAATATATTATTATTCTTTTAAATAATTTACTATTATTCTAATTAAGCAATTTTTTATCATTCAAAAAAATGATTAGTTGACCTAAACTTTGACAGATTAAATCAAATCAGTTAATAAGTCATTTTGATTTAATTTAATACTTTATTAAACTATTAATTCTAATCTTAAATTACAATTTACTCTTTATTCTTTTCATAATAATTATTCTTTAATTTATGTTCATTACTATTTTCTAATTCACTTTTATAATTATTTATAATTCACTTTATTTTCATTATAATTTTATTTTCACTAATTTTTCATTATTTTTATTATTTTTTTTAATTTTTCTTTCAAAATTAATTTTTTTTAAGATTCTTTTTATTTACTTTATTTTTTAACCAATTAAAATCAAAGTATCTTTTATCTCATATTTATCATTTAAAATATCATAACATTAAAATAATTGTTTAATTAAATTTAAATAAGTTTATTTTATTTTTATAAAAAAAAAAATATTTTTAAATAAAATTTTATTAAATATTTTATTATAATAAATATTAATATAAATTATTAAATAATAATTAATAAATATTCTTAAAAAAATAATAATTTAAATTGTTAGATAATAAATCAATTATATAAATTAATTGCATATATGATATATATTTAAAATTATTATCATATTATAGATATTAATTTTTTATATATATAATTTTTATAGCAAAAATAAGCTAATTCTAATATAAAATTGTCAATTTAAATAATAATAAAATTAATAAATGATTTTATTTATTTGAAAATTTTTTCTTATAAATAATATTTATAGTAAAATTTTAATAATCTTTAAATAATTAATTCATTATTTTTATAACTATTAATTAACCTTTTTTTAAAAAAATTAAATGCTTTTTTATTAGTAAATATTAATTCTAATTATTATATAAATACTTGTAACTATAACATATATTTTTAGCTATGATTTAATAAAGAAAATTTTAATACTAAAAAAAATACATAATAAATCTTATTTATTTTATAATAGTTATATTAAGTTTTTAGCTTAATTATATTAAAAAACTTTATAATAACCATTTTTAATTTATTATAAAAAATCATTTAAATACATTGTAATAAAAAATGAGAAAATTACAAAGATAAATAAATATATTTTTTAGTAAAATAAATTCAGATTTAACATTTATTTAAACAAAAATTTTTTTTAAAATTTCTTATTTTTTACTGCTTGCAAAACATCTATTTAATCAAAATTTTATAAATATAATGATTTTATATTTTAATTAATGTTTTAATAGTTTATCATTCCTTTTTAAATAATATGAAAGTTTTATTATATAACTTGATCAACATATGACTTAATTTAGGGCAAGCATTATATATTTGACCGGAACTTAACACCACTTTAGTGCCGGTTGGAATTAGAATAGTCACGTGTTATTTTAAAATGTGACTAAAATTATCAACGAAGTCAAAAAACGGGAGTCACTAAAATGACGCAATAACGTTAAAGTTATTATACATTCATTTCGTTATATTTTAATAATCCTTAATCATCTAATAAATATTATCATGTCAATAAAGTATTTGAATAGTTTCCCAGCATAAGGATTTGTAAAGAAAAAAAGTTAAAAAAAATAGTTTATGATTAATTTATTCCAAAACCAAAGAAAACCAAATTTATTTCGTATACCTTTTCCGTTCTTGTTATGCAAAGTACTTTAGTTTATGTGTAAGACATTACTTTAATCCTCAAAGAGAAGGTAAAAGCCGACGAGCGTATAGTTAATATCTTATGATGTTTTCAATAACTAAGCATTGAATTTGATATTCCATGGGAATTAAATTGATTGAATAAACAAACAAAAATCTTGTATTACGTCATTTTAAAAGAACATTCGTAACTGGAAATTTTTGTGATGCCACAAAATCTAGAAAGTAGTACATATTATTAAATCCATACCGATTAAAGTAACGATATTCGCTAATTCGTTTCATCGTGGTGGTAAAAATGATCCAA